ACTGCAGCGGCAGCAGCATTTTGTACCGTTTGTCGCTGGCTCGTTTCGTCGTTTCAGTTGCATTCGGCAAGCGAACGAAGTCGGTTCGGCACATTCACATTCGAAGGCAGTCGCAGCCGCCAATTGTTGTCATTATTGTTATTAATTATTTAAATTGAAAAACTAGCTGGCAACACTGCGCGCGCTCGCTGTGACTTGCAAATTACGTAGCACATTTGACAGCTCTCACATTTACATAAAAAAAAAAAAAAACGAACCAGTGCCAAAGTGAAATTGTGTGAAATTTTGTAAATGCAGAAAATCATATATTCATAAAAACAAAAAAGGAAAAACAAGAAAAACTAAAAATGATGGTGCTACAGCAGCAACAGCAGCGCCGCTTGTGGGATGCCTCCAAAACAACAACAAACGCAACAGCAGCCGCAGCCGCCGCCGCCGCCGCCGCAGCAGCAACAACAACGCAAGCAGAGGCCGCGGCAGAGGCCAGCAACAAATTGGAATTGGATAATGTGGCCGCAGAGCGAAGCGTGCGTCTCATCAAGCAGCGCAAGGATCATGAAAACTCATGTAGGCAAAAACACACAATTTTCAATTAATTAGCATAGATATTATTGGGCTGCCAGGGTTGCCACGTGAGCGAACTTAACGCTAGCTTATCGCGGCGTTGCCAGCTGCAGCTTTGAAGCTTAGCTTGACTCTTGACTGAGCTCTGCTTTACGCTTTATTGAATACTTGTTGTGTGTTCAAATGTTTTGTTGTGATTTTTTAGTTAATTAGGTTTAGTTAAAAGCTCCTCAATAGCTTTCAAGCTTAATCTTGTGTCTTTCTAAGCTGTAATTAGAATTGTTATGGATTTTTTTGAAAATTTACTTAAGTCCTTTTTGAGTTATTCATATTTTTTATATTAGAAATGACATTAATAATGAATTAATTTTGAACTATTTTGCTTAATTTTGTTTATGCAAAAATATTTAAGGCTTTTAGCTTAAAGGTTTGATTTAAGTTTTTGTTTAAAAATATTTTAGTAATTTTTAATACTTCAAGGTTTACATTTACTGAAGATTGATAAAACTGATTTAACTTTTGGGCATTCGAAAGTTTACTTAACAATATATGAACAATAATAGAAAGGAAGAAAAATGAAAGAAGAAATAAAGAAAAAAAAGCTTTCAGGCGCAATAAAAGCTTTATAACTTTTGCAGTTCCCATAAAACTTAGATTAGTTTCATGTATTAACATAATGGAGACTATAAAATTAATAATTTTTCTTACGATTTGATATTTACTGAATTGAAAAATGTTAAAGCACATTAATGAGCTTTTTGCATTTTACTTCTTTTGGGTTATAATATAAAGCTTTAATATATTTATATAAATTTATATCGAATTTAGAACTGAAACCAAGAGCTTTTAAGTACTCAAAGTTTTCGACGCCTTTTTAAAGCTTGACTTATTCTCATGAAAACTCAGAGAAAAACTTGTCCATGCTAAAACCTTAGTTTAGGCTCTTATATATATTATATAAGAAACAGTTTATGCCTATAATAACTCGTTGTCAAGTCTTTGACCAACTTTGAGACAACCTTCTACCTCCACCTGTGGCTTTCACTTTCGGTAAAACTGTGAAGGAAAAACTCAACTGGCAACCAAATGCCGCCACAGCTGATTACAAAAGACGCACGCCCGCACCTATTGAATTGTGAGCCATAGAATTTCCATTTCCATTTCCATTTCCATATCGAGATCTACAATTTCATGGCATTTGCTATAGTTTTGATTCGGCATCATGAGCTGCATCTCCTGCTGCTGCTGCTGCAGATGCCGCACCCCACTGTGCGTGTGATCATTATTTTGTTAGCATTTGCATCCCGCACAGAGTCCTGTGGCCGTTGTCCTTTTTTTTACCTGTGCGTCTCAGGTATTTGCATTCACACACACACACACACACACACACACACACACAAAAGGCAAGGCACATCAGGCATATGTCCTTTAAAAAATGGTAAGAAAAAAACTAAGCTGCGTCTTTTTTTCACTGTGAGGCGTGCAATTTTCCCTTAATTTTCCTGGTCATAAAAAGAGAGTGAAAGAACACCACAAAAGCCAAATTTTGTGTAATTACATTTAAGCCTTAGGTGCAAGGATATGCGTGTCCTTTTTAATTGCATGAAAGCAAAATAGCAAAACACACAAAATGTGTGTAACATGCAGATCAGCGCCAAGGCTTTAATGTCAGCCCCTGGAAAAAAAGGACTCCGGACACTCTGTGAGGATTCGAACCAGCAGCCTCCCGCCACCACAAAACCCATTACGAGCGCGTCCGGCGGTGTCCAATGGGGTAATCTGTATATTTATAATGTCAGGCTGAGACATTATGCACAAGGATTCCAAGGCATTTCGTCTGCCATATATTGTCGTAAAAATATGTCGCTTTTTTTTACCCAATCCGAGTGTGTTTGCGTGAGTGTGTGTGTGTGTGTGTGTGTGTGTTTGTCCAGCCCGCTTAGTCAAGGATGCTACACATTGTTTACGCCCCGGGGGAGCTATAAATTTAATATCTACTTTGCAAAACAAAAAACCCAACAAAAAACTCGGCCACAGGGTGGACACGAAGCGACAACGCGTCAGCAGAGCCTCAGCTCCGCGCATATGTGTGTATTCAAAGTAAACTGCGTGTGTGTGTGTGTGTGTGTGCGAGTGTGTGCGAGTGTGTGTGTGTAACAGGATTTTGCATAGATAGTCGGACAAACAGTTCCCCGAGCTGGTTAGATATGATAATGCCCCAATAAGCTATTCTGAATAAAGATAAGCAAAGAAAAACTAACAGGAGAAGGTAAGAGGTCTCTAATTGGGAGTATACGACTAGGAGATACCCTAAAAACTAGTGTGCAGTTGCCGTTAGAAGCATTTTAGCATCCTTTCATGCAAATGCACACACTATACGATAGGCCTCCTTAAGTAACTTGGGTCTTTATGGTCCGATCTTGATGAAACTCTCAGGGCTTCAATACTTCATAAATAAGTGTATATATCCTTAAGGGCGTAGACGTACCTTTAAAAATGAGCAAAGGGCAGACATATGTCAAATGTGAAATACTCTAAAGCTGTATATGATATACGAGAACCCGCCTACCAAATTCTGTGCATCTAGCTCTTATAGTTCTCGAGTTATGCTCAAAAAAGCATGTCTCCAAATCGATATTTATCGATACTCTGAAAAGAGCAAGATATATCGATAATATTTACCTAAAATTCATCAAGTAAGTTTAGTTCTTGTACATTTCGTGATTTAAAACAAGAAAGAGATGCTCTCTAAAATCGAATCCAACTCATGGTGTGCATTATTTAAATAACCAAAAACCTAAACTCAAAAGCAATCGATATATTTTAACGCCAGAAAACGAATTACAAATGCAATTTCCTGGGCAAACTTTACGATTTAAAGACTTCAGGCATTCAAGTTTAATTTGACTTCATGCTGATTTCATCGCTGAGCTGTCGACTGGCGTTTGGCAGGCGCAAAGCGAGCGTGAGGAGCTCTTAAAAAGTTTACAGCGCTCGCCACACTCGAAGGACACCACTCAAAGGACATCACTAGACAAGGAAATTTTTGCATGTTACGCTGAAACGAAGAACCGTAAATACTAATGGACATTTTACGAGCCAAGTGGACGGAGGGCAGCCAAGCAGACCAAATGGACAAACGATGACCAAAATGTGTGTGACCGAGTGTGTGTGTGTGTGTATGGGTGTGTGTGTGTGTGTCAGAGACACTCGCCAAAAACAGACAACACCCAGACGAAGACTCCAACTGCAACCACCAAACACAACTGTGGTGTGCCATAAATTGAAAGCCGTGCCTGCAAACAGGATGCAGGAACGTGCAGCACGTTTGGGGGAGAATTCAATAATCGATAAACACTGCAAGGTGCAATCGATAGATAACGCAATGCTCTATCGATAAGCATTACAAGGTGCAATCGATAGACAAGAAAGGCAAACGATAGGCAAGACTCAATGATATGTCAATAAGCAACTTGAAGATCGACAAATTAGTGTTACAAATATCGATATGCATTTCCATGTTGAATCGATAGACTACAGAATGTTCTATCGATAGGCAGATTAATGGTTTATCACTAGGAAATTTAACTCTCTATAACTCTATTGATAATAAATTCTATGACCGATCAAAAGGCAATTTATGATCTACCAATAAGCAGCTCAAGGTTGTTCCAATTTGTTGCCTTATCGATAGGCAGCTGAATGCTACATCGATAGGCAAGCTAGTTCTCGATTAACAAGCAACTGTTTTTTTTTATATCAATCGACTTGTAATTCTCTTTTGATCTCGATTTTAATGAGCTATCGACAAGCAAGGGGAACCTCAGTGGCTAATCGGTAGGCAAGCTAATGCTCTATCGATGGGCTACTCAATAGTCATTCAATAGACAAAATCTCTTAATTCAATACTAAACGTGATGCTTCAGGGAAATAAATTCCTAATCGATAGCCAGCTCCTAGGTATCTTGCTCAATCGATAAAAATGTTGCTAAGCTATCGATAATGAATTCTAGGGCCTTCATTAAGCAGCTCATGATTTATCGATAGGTAAAGCGTAACTCTATGCTTAATCGATAGTCAACTTATTGAGCTATCGATCGGCATTTGTATATGTTTTATCATATAATATGCATTCGAAAGGCAATGTTTAAGCAATCGCTAACCGATAGGCAATTTTTTGCTTTATCGATGGCAGCTTAATGCCTTATCGATAGATATTCTATCGATAGATCTGCACTGGCATATTCTCTCGATAGACCTGCTTGACAATTTTTTTTTTTCCATATTTTTATTTAATTACTTTGAAAATACCCAAATTAGTTGTAATTTCTTTTTAAATTCTCACATTTCGTGGAATTCCTCTTGGCAAACAGCCGCAAGAATCGCAAGCATTTATCATTTACATTTGGTTTTTTTTGTCTTTCATTTCTTTGCAGTTATGCGACACATGTCAAACTCACCGACACCGCCATCTCCCCTGCGATCTCTATCAGGTATGCTCGTAATCCTTTGCCAACATTCAGCAGACATGCACCAAAATAGAAATGAAAATATGTTTAGCCATAAGGTCTAAGGGTTCGATTTGCCTTTTGGTCGCGTGGAACGTGGCTACTTTGTGGCAAAATTGATTACTCACACGAGCTACGTTGCCAATTTATTGATGTGTCTCTCTGTACAGTCGGCTCGGGGCTGGAAAGGGAGCGAGTTATGGGCAAATTTTATAGTTTTCCAAAAAGGATATGCAACAACAACAGCGACAAAGACAACCCCAAAGCCAGTTGCAGCTCGAGTCTGAGGATGAGCCTGAGGCTCAGCCCGAGCTCAGAGCGTGCCAGTTCAGTTGAGTGTCTCTGGGTTAGGCGCTCGGGAATCGGGGATCGGGCTTAGGTAGCTGCTGCTGCCAACGAGCCATGCACGTGACTAAAGTGCGACTCTAAAACCCTTAAATGATTTAGGATCCTTGGCAAGCACCTATGCAGCACAGTAAAGTACTTGGCGAATTAAATAAGGAATTTCAGTGTTAAAAAATGCTTAAAAAACTATCGTCAGGACGCTTTAAAAAAAATCCAATCAATTTTCTACGCAATTTTTGGGAAAATGAAATTGAAAAGCGCACTAAACAACTTTCAGTGTTGTTAAATACGCATTTATCGAGTACTGGGCAAAGAAATCTTCAGAAATGTTTAAAAAAATTTCTTGTGCTTAAAAAGTTATGTAATTTCAGTGTTAAAACGCCTCATATGTTAAGAAAATTTCTGTGTTGAAAAATGGAATTTGCACGCACTTAAAAGAGTTTTAGGGTTGAAAAAGCCTGATATGTTTAATTTTCTTAATTAAACTTTTAAAAATTAATGATAATGGTAAAAAGCCACAAACATGCTTAAAAAATGTTATAGAAATGGGCCAGAGAGAACTCCAGTGTTGAAAAATTGAACTTTCATGCATATAAAATAAATTTAGTCTTGAAAAATACTTTTTTAGTATTACAATACTACAATTAGACCTGGGGGTATCTTAAATCAGATTAATTTTTATACATTTCTTGCAAAACACAAAATATAACTTTGCTATAACAACTCGAAACTGAGGAAAGAGAACATTTATATATTTCCCAGTTTAAAATCAACAATGTTGCAAATTTTGGTTTTGTGAAGCGGAACCCTTCCCCCCTCCACACACACACACACATGCTGCGTAATGTCGCACACCCACATCTCAGAACAAAGCGCAGTTGCAACCCTGGCAAATTTGCGGGAAGTTCAGAAACTATTCAAGTATGCTAACAACCCCCAAAGCGTATGCAAAAGGTTATATACACACAGATACGCACACAATGCACACACTTTTGACCCCGTCGAACCCCCGCCTGAGTTGTTCCTACCCCTCACCCTCACGGGGCAAACCCTAACAAACAAAATAAAAATAACAATTTGTCAAAATGTAAATTTCGTATCGTCTTTTGGCAACAACTGCGCATTTAAATTTGATTGTGCCAGCAATTATGTAAGAGAGGCGACCCTAACTGATGACCTTTAACTACTCCCCTCCCCCCCTTCCCCTCGCTCACCCTCTTCCCTACACTCCCTCCCTCCCGCTCTCCGAGCATAACAAAGCGCAGCTAATCTATGCAAAAACATGCATAGCGCTTGTTTTGCCCGACCCTCGATGAGTACTAAATTTGAATGGCAACCCTCATTTAAATATACACTGAACAGGGTTGCCACACACATCAGCGACTGGCAATTAAACTTGCATTCTCATTGGTTTACGCAAATTAACGGGTCGCGCGTTTATTTAAATTATGTCACAACAGCAAACGACAACAAACAAAAAGTGAACCCTTCATAAAAAAAAGGGTTGCTGCTTATTGGCGGTTGGGCTGAAGTGTGAGGTTAGGGTAGCCAATCAACTGTTGCTGCCTGCGCCTGTTTAACATATCATTTGAATAGCAACGAGGTGTAAAGCGTGCGGCAAATTGTTTTGGCCCTTCACACAGACAGCCCCTCGGCAAGCGTAACCCTAACCTCGCGGCAGGGTTACGCGGCTTTTTAAGTGCCACTTGTTGACTGACTCTTATTCAAATTGCACGCCTCTTCCGCCGGGGTTGGGCCCGAAAGGATTAGGTTGCGTGAAGCTAATTGTCGGCCTTTGATAGGGTAATTTGTACGGCAAGCCTCTCGACGATATGATATTATAATCAGCGGTTCCTGTTTAGTGTTTTTTTGCTCTTTTTTTTATTGATTGGGTGCGCGTTTCTTAAGCGGGGCGTTACGGGGGCGTTCCGCTTGGGTTTAAATTTGTGGTTTCATGGAAGTTTAATTTAAAAAGAGTTGAAGTGGTTGCTAGTGGGAATATGATGAAGGAATTTAGGAATATAAAAGAGATATATTGTATGGGAAGCGTGGAATAATGGAATGCAATTACAATATGTACTTGATTCAAGGCGTATATGGATTCTTCTTTTCGGATTCTAGACTTTTTTATACTATTTTATATAGAAAGAAGTAGATCGGCTTGCAATCTTTAGCCCATTCTTTAAACTTGGATAAATGTATATACGCTTAACTCGAAAACTATATAACTCATTTAGACCAAACTTTGTATGCACTTTCTGTATAACCTATGCTGATAAGCAATAAATCATATGTTGCATAACTACAACGAACCTCTCCCAAAACGGTAAATAACTCATTTTTAAAGGTAGATCCTTGGGCTTTGGTATACACGCACTTTTTTATGTCACATTCAAGCCCTGAAAACTTCATAAAGAACGGACTGTAAACAGCGAAATTAATGAAGAACGCATTGTCCGGACATAGGGTATAGGCAAAGACAATATAAACACTGGTCGTCTGGCTTTTGAAGAGCGAAGAGCCAGTCGGTTGGCGTGTCTTGTGAAAAGCCAGATGAAAAGCCAGGCTACAAATTTTGCATCGCATTCAAATGTATGGGCGTTGCTCATCTTAGTGTTTATATTGTCTTTGGTATAGGGTATAAAGGAAAGAAGAAGAGAAGTTTGATTACTCGGTAGCTGGGCGGGTATTTTAGGGTATTTGCTAGTCAGGCACTAATTCAAGTACTTCCTTGTGTGCTTATTTAAAGTTTGCTCGTAACTATTCTCATAATTAAAGAGATATTTTCTTTTGCCCTATATGCTTTAAATATTAGATAAAACTCTCAATTTTTCCCATATGCACAAGTTGTTTCGTATGCTAGTTTTTTAATTTAGATACCCTGTAAAATGTAGCGTTTAATTGGATAGTTTGAGCACACAGCACACAAATATATGTTCACATTTGCGTTGCGTTTTATCTTTCCCATAAATCGCAACGCACTTTGCGCCGTTGCATTCCCGAAAGAAGGGAAAAAGGGAAAAAAGGCGACACCCCACGAGCGAGCAACCCCTAAATGCAACCAACAAAAAGAGAAGAGAGAGACAAGCGAACGTGGAGAGTGCAACAACAAGGGGCAGCAACACTTCATTTGTCAGTGGAAACATTCACACATTTTGCCATTGTATTCGACCAGCAGCAACAACAGGGACCGGGGCAGGACATCTGCTGAGGCAAAGACAAAACGCAGCATCACCTGGTTCCCGGTTCGATCTGCGAGTTGGGGATTCGAACTAGGAACTTGGTGGCCTGTCGCTGCAGGGCTCTGCCCGCTGCTAGAGCCACAATAGTTTGTAGCCTGCAGCTTCTTGACTTTCCACGTGTGCAACAATGCAACGCGGCAGAACCCCCTTTTCTCTCTTTTTATTCCCTCTTAACATAAACCCCTTTTTCGCCAATCAAAAGTTGCAGTCGGGTTTAACCCCGTTAAAAAATAATCATAAAATGGAAATCCTCGGCTCGTGCATTGCAAATTGTGCGCAATTGTAACGAATTGTTTAAAAATGCCAACAACAGGGGGTTGCAGTGCCAGGGGCGGAGGGTACATCACATTTTTGTAGGGTTTAAACCCTTATGTAGTTATGTGATTTTTTTTAAAGCTGACTGCATTTTCTGCTAATTATATTAGCCGATTCTTTGCGCTAACAACACAAGTCATAAAAACAGCTGCCCACATAGCTGGGCGCATTTAAAAGTTCAAAACTTCGACCCCCCACCCCCTTCTCCCAGAAACGAACACCCGCATCGAAAATCAAAGTTCTAATCCCTTTACCAGAACTGACTAGCTGTAAAGCCGCTTGAAACAAACCGAACCCAATAACGAAATCGTTTTAAACAGGTTGAAGTTATGGTTGAAGGGGTTGAAGTATTACTCAAAAAAATTTAACAAATTGTTTTTAACTTTTCAAATTCGAGCCAGCAACTTGATTTTTTTTATATATTTGAAAATAAATCGTATTGAGAACCGAATTAGTAGGTCAAAAAATGGCCAACTCTAAGCCTGAAGCATATTTAACAACAAAAGTTTTTTTTTGAATTTTCAAATATTTTTCGGATTTTTGAAAATTTGTTTACAATTTATTCTTATTTGGAAAAATATTTGAACTAATTCGCTTCAAAATTAATCTACAATTTTGATACGATTTGGTTCATATATATTTCGAAATAAAAAAAAAAAAACTTCGTTTATTTATAAACAAAAAAGCTATTTTATTAATATGCAAAAATTTTAAAAAATTGTGTTTCGATATTTTGTAAATCAAATACTTTACGATGTGTAAGAAAAACATTTCTCAATTGAAAATGCATCTCCTCATCAAATATTAAATCTTAAATGAATTTTCATATTGTAAGCCAGGCACAATAAATATTTTTTAACTCAAAGACTGTTCGCTGCGCTTTGATGATCTTTGACTGAAGTTCGTGGGGATTATCTTACAGGAAGTTCTTGAATATGCTTTGATATTCTCAATTCTAAAGGCAATAGATGCTCAATAAATGCTCATGACACATTATGAAATTTGAGCTGGGCAGATCTCGAAAGGGGAAAAAAAAATATTGAAAGAAAAACCAAAACAAAAAGTTGTGAAAAGCTTTTTATGGCCTGTGTCCTGTGTCCTGCGTCCTGTGCCGGCGATTTTTCAATTATTATGCATGATTGAATTTTGATCTAGTCTATGGGCCAAGGGAGGGGGCGTTCGGGCGGCTGGGCGTGCCACAAAGCAAACCCTTCCGCTTGAGCGTCTATCGGCAATGCAGCAGCTAACCGCAGGACAACAACGGGGCAAGGACTAAGCAGAAGGCGCATTCAATTGGAAGATTGAATAAAATTTGCCTTAAAATAGCAGAAATATTGAAAACTTGCCCCGAGGGGGAAGGGGGCGCTGGCCAGTCGTGAAGAGGGAGGGGGGGCTGTTGAGTTGGGGAATTGAATTATGCGACGCGTGTTGTCCTGCTATGTCCTGGCTACTTGCAACTTCATTGAGTTGGAAAATTGAAAAAATATATATTTTGATACAGAATATACATAGAATTTATATAAAAAGCTAGCGAGCATTAACCGGCATTGCCCGGTCAAAGTGTAACTCCTTCGGTTCAAGCTATCAAATGTCGTTTTACGTAGTGCTTTATAAATCAGCCTGAAACCGAGTTGGAATTTGTCAGCTATTCAGTCAGTAGATTAAATAATCAGTCTTTCAATCAGTCAGTCCACCAATCAATCGATCAGTCAAGCTGTCATTCAGTCGTTCACTCAATCACACAGTCAACCAGTTAGTAAATCAGTCAATGAATCAGTCAGTTAGCCAGTCAGTCAGTCAATCAACTGGAGAAGTAGTCAATCAATCAGTCAACAGATTAGCCAATCAGTCAGTCAATCAGCTCACAACCAAGTCAATTAATCTCTCAAGCAATCAATCAACTAGTCAATCAGTCAGTCAGTGATGCAACCCGTGAATCAATCAGTAAGTAAATCAATCAGTGAAACAGTCAGTTAGTCAATCAATCAGTTAGTGCAGCAGTCAGTCAATCAGCCGATAGTTAAATGGCTGATTGACTGAGCAATCAATAAGTGAACAATCAATAATCTATCAGTCAGTCATTCACTCTATCAATCAGTCAATCATTTAAGCACGGCATCAATCAGTAATCAGCGAAAGAGCCAGTCATTTAGTCATTAGTCAATCAGCCAATCATTCACCCTTATCTGATTAATTATTATTCATATAAAGTTGATTCACAAATAACGACAAAATTTCCTCTCTCTTTTTACAGACTGCGGCAAAAGCTACGAGGAAGAGGAGGAGGAGGACGAGCTAGAGGAGGATGTGGCGCAGAATTTGAGCAGTAAACGCAGCGCACGCCAATTGGATGCAGACATGGAGAACGAGGTGCTCAACTTGGCGCGCAGCGTTTCGCCAGCGGCCAAGCGCTTGGCCCTGGAGCACACAGCCGAAGCTGCGCTCGCGGCACAGTCCGCCGCAGCCACGCCCCCCACCGGGCTGGGCATGCCGCTGACGGCGGCGCCGCCCGCAGCGCCGCTGGGCTTTGGGCCAGAGGATATGCAGCAGGCGCTGCAGCTGCAGCTGCACAGCTACATCGAGATGGTGCGTCAACTGGCGCCCGATGCCTTTCCCAATCCCAATCTGGCGACACAGTTTCTGCTGCAGAACTCGCTGCAGGCGCTGGCCCAGTTCCAGGCGCTGCAGCAGCTCAAGCAGCAGAGGGAACAGCAGCTGCCGCCGCCCAGCGAGCCGCTGCCCACGCGACACTATTCCACGCCGCTGAGCAAGTCGCCGCTGCGCAGTCCCTCCCTGAGTCCCGTGGCCCGCTCCATGGAGCCGCAGCAGCAGCAGGCGCAGCGCACGCCGCCCAATTCGCTGGCGGCGAGTCTGGGCCTGAGCAGCGCCGTCCTGACGCCCAATACGCCCAGCATGCAGCAGCAGCAGCATCTGCAGACGACGACGACGACTGCCTCGAGCACGCCCAAGCCGTTGGCTAGCGGCGCCACCGTGGCCGCTGTGATGGCAACCAAGCTGGAGCAGTCGCCGGAGGAGACCACCGATCTGGAGGAGCTGGAGCAGTTCGCCAAGACGTTCAAGCAGCGTCGCATCAAGCTGGGCTTCACCCAGGGCGATGTCGGCCTGGCCATGGGCAAGCTCTATGGCAACGACTTCTCCCAGACGACCATCTCGCGCTTCGAGGCCCTAAATCTCAGCTTCAAGAACATGTGCAAGCTGAAGCCGCTGCTGCAAAAGTGGCTGGAGGACGCGGACTCGAGTGTGGCCAAATCGGCGGGCGGTGTCTTCAATATCAATACGATGACCACCAATCTGTCCAGCACGCCGGAGAGCATATTGGGCAGGCGGCGCAAGAAGCGCACCTCCATTGAAACGACCATACGCGGCGCCTTGGAGCAGGCTTTCATGCTGAACTGCAAGCCCACCTCGGAGGAGATCAACCAGCTGTCGGAGCGCCTGCACATGGACAAGGAGGTGGTGCGCGTCTGGTTCTGCAATCGCCGGCAGAAGGAGAAGCGCATCAATCCCTCGCTCGACCTGGACAGTCCCACCGGCACCCCGTTGAGCAGTCACGCCTTTGGCTATCCACCGCAAGCCCTCAACATGTCCAACGGTGGTCATGTGCTGCTCGAGGCCGGCGGCTCCCACTGCGGCAGCTCCATTAGCTCCGGTGAATGATCTGCTGCCGGCTGCCAACTCTGGTCAGCTTGTATATAGAAAGAGAGAGCGAGGGAGCGAGAGAGAGAGAGAGCGCGAGCGAGTACTCCAAATCTTCCACAAACATTCCAAAACTGCATATCGTATTAACCCAGAATCCCAATCCCCTGCCCCTGGCCCCGCCCCTGTTCCAGCCCCCTAGGTGATAGTCAAGTCGTATCAGCAGCATTCCATAACGAATTTACGAGTACAGAAACATATATATACATATATATATATACAGCCCATGTAGGCATTATATTGGATCTATGTAGAGAGTTCCTCCTAGTTCCTAGCTATACGAATTTCTACCCTTCTATCCCAAACTGTTTGTTGTCTCTGTATATGTGTATATGTACGTGTTCAGCATGCCGATCTATCAAGTATTTATACATCACACACACATATATATACATAAATATAAATATATTTAATATTAAACTTAGACACCTATGTAAAATACTATCTATATACTACTATAAATATAATGATATTGTTGTACAATGTCCAATTGTAAATTGATCTGAACTCTTAGATCTTAACACACAGAAACACAAACAAAAAATTCAATAAAAATTATTTAAAAACTCAATTGATTGGAAAATTGTTGTTGTTTTTATTGGGGGTATTCGAAAAACAGTTAAGTAAAATCTTAATTCATTGAATTTCATTTAATTAAAAAAAAATGAAATCATAATTAAAATAATAAATAAATTGAAGATGATTATTTAAATCGCCCAGCACATTTATGTTTACACTAATGTATGTATGTGTGTATGTATGTATGTATGTATGTATGTATGTATGTATGTATGTATGTATGTATGTATGTATGTATGTATGTATGTATGTATGTATGTATGTATGTATGTATGTATGTATGTATGTATGTATGTATGTATGTATGTATGTATGTATGTATGTATGTATGTATGTATGTATGTATGTATGTATGTATGTATGTATGTATGTATGTATGTATGTATGTATGTATGTATGTATGTATGTATGTATGTATGTATGTATGTATGTATGTATGTATGTATGTATGTATGTATGTATGTATGTATGTCTGTATGTATGTATATATGTATGTATGTATGTATGTATGTATGTATGTATGTATGTATGTATGTATGTATGTATGTATGTATGTATGTATGTATGTATGTATGTATGTATGTATGTATGTATGTATGTTTGCATGTATGTATGTATGTATGTATGTATGTATGTTTGCATGTATGTATGTATGTATGTATGTATGTATGTATGTATGTATGTATGTATGTATATATGTACGGTATAGTTATATTTATAAAGCGGGCACAAAATATATTTTCTGTTGACTGTGAAATTTAAATGAAAAAGTACTGCCCTACTATGCGGTTCTCAAGAATTCAAGTAAGTCCCACGGGTTATTGTGCTTTGCATATAAGTGTTATATTAACAAGTGACTTATTAACTTAATCTCTGCGTATAATCGTTACTGTGCACTTTCTCTCGCTCTCTCTCTCTCACACCTTCTCTTTCTCTCTTCCTCTCTTATTTTTAGTGCTATCTCTATAGACTGCTCTCTACTGCTTGCGTGCATATAAAAAGATGGTGAATGTATTAAGTTATGGGTAGGTACATTTATACATATGCACATATTTGTATGTTAACAAGAAGAGATATTCCGCTGTTCCTCGTGAGCGCATATCACAAGACAAAGCAGAGCTGGGCACAAGTGTTCTTCTGATATTCCCAGTATTAATACAAATATATTAATTCAAAATTTGTTGACTGTTTATAAACAGATATGCAAGCTCTTGAGCTTTTGTTTATTGAAAATTAAGTATATACGTTTTTGAGTATTCAGCTAGAAAGGATTATAAAACATTAAAAATTGTTTGCCAGAAAAGGTTTCTTATTGCAGATTAAAGCCACATTAATGAGAGGCCCTAAAAAACCATCAAAGCCTACCTCTTGGCACCATTCGAAACAAGCTAAGCCTTGGATTTGATTTATAATTCAATTAGGTGCCATTTCGCAGGGCAACCCTTGATCCTAAGTACACTTGAATCTCATTAGAAGCTCCCTAAATAAATATTTAACAACATATTTAGTTAACTGATTTCTGGGCCCAAGAAAAAAAAAAGAAGGGAATCCCATCCGCCAGGACACGCGCCAAGCGCAAACACACCATTTTTTAATAAACTTCCTTTAGACACACACATAAACACACACACACACACACACACAGCCAAACAAAGGGAGCGACCCGCACCAACCCCTTTACTTTTGTTGGAAACCTGGTGGCAAAATCTCGGGAGTGGATTTGTTGGATAAGAAATCACTTCATCTTTGCCGTGCGACACTCAATATGGAAGCGAACTGCGCCGCATGAAACCCTTATTTGTATATCGAGGCAAGCGTGTAAATCCCATTGACCATCCGCAACCCCAACCCCAACCCCAACCCTTGCCAAGGAAAAGTTTCAGACTTGGAGTGAGGGTGGGTTCGGCTTGGTGCCACTCGCTGATTCGTTTAGGGCAACAAAAAACAAAAAAAAAGGGTTTATGCCATAAATTCACACATAGTTATGTCATATGGTCTACTAGAAGGGCGGCGATTGTTGTCCTTCTTGTTGTTTTTTTTTCTATTGCTGAGAGTCCTTTGGCTACTGACAGTAAAGGCATTTACGGTTGAGGCCCAGTTGTGGCCCATTTTTAAATTGTTTTATTTAAGACATGAGTACTGCTGCTAGATTTATATGCCAAATCGAGCTAGAGGACAAGCCATGACGAAAACGCCAAACCTCGCGAAAGTCGGATGAGATTTGACCGAGTTATGGGGTTGGGAAATTTTGTCCTATGTCTATATAGGATATGTGAAGGTACCATTTTCACATGAATTTTGACCCGGAATGATGTTGTCAGATTAAGATGCCAAATTGATCTAGAGGCCAAACCATAAAGAAAAAGCCAAACCTCGCGAAAATCGGATGAGATTTGACCGAGTTATGGGGTTGGGAAATTTTGACCTATGTCTATATAGGATATTTGAGTGTACCATTTTCACATGAATTTTGACCCGGAATGATGTCAAATTTAGATGCCAAATTGATCAAGAGGCCAAGCCATGAAGAAAAAGCCAATCATTATGAAAATCTGATGAGATTTGACCGAGTTATGGGGTTGGGAAATTTTGTCCTATGTCTATATAGGATATTTGAGGGTCCCATTTTCACATGAATTTTGACCCGGAATGATGTTGTCAGATTTAGATTCCAAATTGATCTAGAGGCCAAGCCATGACGAAAAAGCCAAACCTCGCGAAAATCGGATGAGGTTTGGCTGAGTTATGAGGGTAAGAAATTTTACATATGTCTATATAGGATATTTGAGGGTACCATTTTCACATGAATTTTGACCCAGAAAGATGTTGTCAGATTTAGATGCCAAATTGATCTAGAGGCCAAGCCATGACGAAAACGCCAATCATTATGAAAATCTGATGAGATTTGACCGAGTTATGGGGTTGGGAAATTTTGTCCTATGTCTATATAGGATATTTGAGGGTACATTTTCACATGAATTTTGACCCGGAATGATGTTGTCAGAATTGGATGCAAAATTGTTCTAGAGGCCAAACCATGAACAAAAAGCCAAACATTATGAAAATCTGATGAGGTTTGACCGAGTTATGGGGGTGGGAAATTTTGTCCTATGTCTATATAGGATATTTGAGGGTACATTTTCACATGAATTTTGACCCGGAATGATGTTGTCAGATTAAGATGCCAAATTGATCAAGAGGCCAAACCATAAAGAAAAAGCCAAACCTCGCGAAAATCGTATGAGATTTGACCGAGTTATGGGGTTGGGATATTTTGACCTATGTCTATATACGATATTTGAGGGTACCATTTTCACATGAATTTTGACCCGGAATGATGTTGTCAGATTTAGATGCCAAATTGATCTAGAGGCCAAGCCATGAAGAAAATGCCAAACCTCGCGAAAATCGGATGATATTTGACCGAGTTATGGGGTTGGGAAATTTTGACCTATGTCTATATAGGATATTTGGGGGTACGATTTTCACATGAATTTTGACCCGGAATGATGTTGTCAGATTTAGATGCCAATTTGATCTAGAGGTCCAACCATGAACAAAAAGCCAATCAATATGAAAATCGGATGAGGTTTGGCTGAGTTATGAGGGTGGGAAATTTTGACATATGTCTATATACGATATTTGAGGGTACCATTTTGACATGAATTTTGACCCGGAATGATATTGTCATATTTAGATGCCAAATTGATCTAGAGGCCAAGCCATGAAGAAAAAGCCAAACCTCGCGAAAATCGGTTGAATTTTGACCGAGTTATGAGGGTGGGAAATTTTCACATGAATTTTGACCCGGAATGACGTTGTCAGATTTAGATGCCAATTGGATCTAGAGGGCAAGCCATGAAGAAAAAGCCAAACCTCGCGAAAATCGGATGAGAATTGACCGAGTTATGGGGGTGGGAAATGTTCAGCTATGTCTATATAGGATATTTGAGTGTACCATTTTCACATGAATTTCGACCCGGAATGATGTTGTAGATTTAGATGCCAAATTAATTTTGTATGTATGAATGTATAGATGTGTATATGTATGCCTGCATCTATGAATGTAGGAATAGATGATTGTATGAATGAATGAATGCATGCATGAATGAATGAGTGTTTGTAATTATGTATGTATGTGTGTGTGTAATTATGTATGTATGTGTGTTTGTGTGTTTGTGTGTATGTGTGTGCGTGTGTGTATGTATGTATGTGCGTACATATGTATGTAAGTTGTCTTCTATACCAATTGCAGACCAATTTGACTTTTTGTACGGCAAATTTTAATAAAAAAACGTACTTATTGAAGCAGCCCTCCTCCTCGATTCTCAAAAATTTAAGTAAGGCTGGCATGCTTCCCCTATGAATTAGGCGCAGGCGGCTTCACCGATGGAAGCTGAGGAGCCGGAGAAGCATGGCTGTGGAGCACCAAGGGGCGGAGCAGAAGGCGTAGGTATTTAAGTATGAAGGTATGTATGTTGGTATATAGGTATGTACGTATGTAGGTAAATAGGCGGCCTTAACGTGGGAGGAGACTTCGGCTTTGGAGGTGGCAACAGTTAGAGGTCAGTCAGTCAGTACAAACAGTTTTATATATAAAAATAAAAGATTTATTGAGATTAAGTTATCTAAATATATACATCAAGGCTATGAATCGGTTTTGATTGCGAACCTGAAATTCAAACTTTTAAAAATTGAACTTAACCTTCAACTAAAGTCAGAAACACAATCCAATCAAAACCAACAAGAATTGTTTGTTAACAGGCTTAAAAATCAAATTTCCTTAATTTTAAATTGATAATAATGCGTCGTATCACGCTAGAGAGCCAAGTTCACGAATCAAAGACCTTAGTTCGCACAGTGAATCGAACCACAGACAATATTTATTATGTTTGCAGCCCTGGTAAATAAATTAATATATGTATATGTATAAATAAGAAGCGCACGCTTA